CATTCAATCTCTCTACTAAAAGGACAACATACCCTGCCCCCTTCACCCAAAATCAAATGGTGCAGAAGGTAAAATCCCAACCTGTAAGCCTGTGTTTTATGCTGTTTTCACTCCTGGCTAGCCAAAAGAGCAGGTCAGCAGTTTATTCCTACTTGCAAAGCAGAAATGGTAATAGCATCTGGTTTAAAGATGCAGAGGTGAGGCCCTTTCTCTGACTACTGTTGCCCACTGGTATTTCTATTAGATGTAACATGATCTGCAGGTGGCAAATAAGGCCAAACACTACACAACAAAAATAAATTGCTAGTCATTAAAAATATATTTCAACTGGTAATGTATTTTACGCCTGTCCCTTTCAGCCTAATTGTGCTCGTTCCCCTGTGTCCCCACCTGTGATATTGTCCACATGAAAAGAGCTTCCTCAGTGAATTAGTAATTGACTCCTAAATATTGCCTGTCTTTACTTTCCTGTCATTTACTTTGTTTGGCATGCTATTGAAGGACTCGCATTACGAGACTGTTTCACCAGACAGCAGGGCTGGTCTCTTTATATTCCCATATATTCTCTCTCCTCAGCTACACTGCACTTGAACACTTCTGCATTACAAGAATTTAGAAGAAAGCTGAATCATGGCGCACTCCAGTTAATTTGCCATCTTGTAGGTCCCAGTCCAGCGAAGCCCTTGGACGTAGTTAAAAACCGGCTGTAATTAGTGTGTTGGACGAGCCCACAAACTATGCTGAGGAGGTGTTGAAAGAAAAGCCCGTATTAAAATGTTTTCTTTCAGAGTAGGAATGTTCTGCTCTAAGGATACAGGAAAGGCAAGGGTTTCAGGATAGCTAAAAGTTTTTGTAGGATAACTGACACCCATAGCTTTTAATCCCTAAAAAGTACCTGTTGTTTTTTCCCCTCCCAGGGATATTAATTGGTCTTACAATGTTAGGCCTTGCTGTGCCCTTTGCTAGTGTAGGAAAAAAGGTCTGAGCTCTGGAGAGCTCCATTGTAGCATCACCTTATGAAAAAATGAAGACAGCCTTCTGGTACATGGGAATTATCACAAATTTGAGGTCTTTCTCAGAAGGCTTATCTGTATAGCTTTTCTTTCATAAACAGCATTACTCAGTAGCAGACTAAGACCACGGGTCAGACTAACCCTGCAGTGCGGCAGTGCAGGGCAGGTACTCATACTGATTCCTCCGGGAGAAGAGTGGGGCATGGAGGAGTGATGTTTGGCAGTTCCCTTGGTTCCACCCTGATGCTCTGCCCAGAGAGAAACCATCCTTCAAGTGTGGAATATTTCAAAGAGTCAGATTTAGTTTAATGTGAGGAATGTAATTTTTTCTTGTAACATTACAAATGTTACAAAACATAATAGGAAAAAATGCAAACAACTCCTCCTCCAACCTGGCAACTCTGATCAGAGCTTGCCAGTGTCAGAGCAAGCAGGTCTGCTGTCTTTGATGAACGTTGACCCTATCTCACAATGCATACATGTATACTCCAAATGATGGGCAAGTCCTGGCATGTAGGTATCTGTGGTAAGGTCTTCTTGGGAATCAAAACCAACTTTAGGAAACAGGTTTCAATGTATGAAGTAACATACATAGGAGTGAGTCATTGTCAGGTGATATGTGTTTGGTTTTCTTTCTTACAACTTAAAAGTTCGTAAGTGGAACTAGACCCCAACATAGACAATATTGTCTCAAATATCTTGTGGAAATTGTGCACAGAATAGTTTGTTTCCTTTAAAGATAAAGTTGGAAGGGCTTCATCCTTGCACAATCCTGCCTTTTAAGCAGATGATTTGAGTAGCTTTTGAAGCACAGCTTGAAGAACATGCTTCAAAACCCGGGAAAACCCAATACCCAGATCATTCCAGTTCTGGGCCAGACTCTTACCCAGCCTAACACTAACAATGCATAAGCAAACTATAAGCAGGAGCTAAATGTAATTTGTGTCTCTTCTAAAATACTTTCATACTCCCTCAACTGTCTATAATGGCATTAATATATGTGAGAATTGAGTTTACTGTGTTTACAAATGATGGCCAAAGGAAAGCTGTGTTTGTATTTTTCCTGCCTGAACAGCTTTTCTGGCTTTCTTTTTTTGATTCTATGAATTTGGAGCACTTCACAAAGATCACATGTTTTCATGTTATTGCTTTGAATGAGCTGGATGAAACAGCCCTCAGGTTGCTATTGAAATTAGGGGCCAGTGCAGGAAGATGGAGTAGATTGATAGGGTGTGTGCCATGAACAAGAAGGCCCACCCAGAACATACAATATTTGTTCATATATGGATTTATAGGAAGCATTGTGAACCATAGTGTACAACTTGCAAAAGTTTTGCGCTTTAAGTTTGGTCCAGAAAGATTCCCAAAAGATTATCCAAATAACTGAATCTCTAGTATTTGGGTGCTTCACGTTCATACCTGTGCTGGAAGTACTCAGAAGCTGATCTTCTTTCCGTGTTTGTCCCTATATCTAACTGGCCTACTTCTGATGTTTCTGATAGCGTAGGACCTGATTTTGGGGTGGGGGAAGACAGTGCAATTTTTTAGCTGGTTTTGGTGATAGCTGGGCGGGAGAAATACACTTGACTGGAATGCTCTGGTAGGGTTGTACATTACAAGGCAAATGCTGATAGCAATAGAATTGTACAAATATTCCATGTAGCTAAGAAGATCAATAAATGTCTGGATAAATTGGTTATTCAGTGTTTTGTTGGGTTTCTTTAATCTGATTTGAAGTATGACAGGTTGGTATTAGTCTTTTCCAAGGATCATGTATGTACACTCCTGAAGAAAGTGCCCCCATATTTAGCATAGCCAAGTGCAGCTTCTTATGAATGTTCTGCTTTTGTCTGTAGGAAGCAGCAGATATAAATGGTTCTGGAATAATTAAAGTATTGGCATCCCATAATATTTTTCTACTGTCAAAACATATCACTGGAGATGGAAGTGAGAAAGATAACCAGAGAAATGTAGGATCCTATTCTGTTCCACATGACACTTACCTGATCTTGAACTTTATCCAGCACTTTAGTCTCTCTCCCATGGAGAGATCTATATTTATATAAATATATAACAAATAAATAAATGTAAATATATGGAGAGATTTATATTTCTCCCCTATATATACTACATTTCCTTTCTTGAGCATCTGATCAGAAAAGAGGGAAAAGGAACTCCTTGTTGCTAGATGATCATTTTAGGTCCCTTCCAAATTAACTGTTCTGTTATCTTTGTATTCTAATTTGCTCCAAACTGTAGTAATCCTACGTCAGTTTTCCCCAGTTGTAAATAGGTTCAGTTGTTAGGCCCAAAAGCTAAATGTAAGTGTACCTTTCAAACCTCAAATTAGAGCTGTTTTACCTTTCACCATATAAGAAGTACCTGAAAACTCAGAGATGGGTGTAAAGCACAAACTGTGTGCTTAATAGGGTGTGTTGTGTTAGAGGTGAATCAGAAGAGTAATTAAGAGACTTTTATGAGAAGATTTTCCTGTTCGTGGGTTTAAGGGTATTTTTATTCTCTCTTTCAGTTACTTTTCAGTCAGGAGCTTTATAATTTTGGGAAGAAAGAGTTCAAATTTGCACAAGTCTTCTCAGGGGCAAAAAGGTGCCACACAAAAAGTTTAGAATAACTTCAGAAATTTCAAGCTGATTCATAGTTTAATGAATGAATGTTTATAGGTGGTTAGAGATGAATCACGGATGAGGAAATAAGAGAAACAGCTGACAGATGAGAAGGGTCAAGGGCTTTTAGTTTTGAGGAGGAGGCCTCAAAAGTGTATCTTTAATACAGATATTTTTTGTTCAGATATTCTGGTTGCTCTCTTAGAGTTCGTAAAGCGGTTTTGATGGTAGTCTCAATACTTGCCTGTAGTTCCACGTTGATTAATAGCTGGTAATATGTGAATATTATATCAGGAGATTAATTTTTTAAGCAGAAGAGCTTTGAAAGGTAGCCTTCTGTTTAACATTGCCAATAATAATGTAACATCTGCTAGCTTTTTTAAATGATGGGATCACACTGCGCAAGTCAAGGCGTTCATTTAAAACTAGCTTTTCTGAAAGATGATGAATCCCTTTTTCAGATGCACGACATACACCAAGCCTTGTATCTAAGCACGATGCAGCATACGGTTGCCTTGCTATGTGCTGGGGACAGTCTCATTTTTCTCATCACCTCATATCTGCCCTTACCTGGCCCTCCAGACACATCAATCAGTTATTCAAAACTGGGGGTGCCAGGGATAGGGAAGAGACATGTATTTCAAGATAGACAGATGTATTGCAGGAGATTCTTCTGGCTCTTCCTATTAACAACGTTGATGGTACAAAATTGCAAAATGAGCAACACATGTTTTGATGGAATTAAATGTGAAATTGGAAAAGGAAACGTGTCTCAAGTATAACAAAGGCTTGCCAGATAAAGCATTACACTCTAAAAATCTGCTGCTGTTAAAATAAAAAATGCTTTTTGAAAGAGTTCCATGTGGTATTGTTTCCATTTCCCCCACATTCAAAAAAGTAGTATCACTTGATTTCAGTTAAGTAAAAACAAACATGTGTACAGCTAACAAATGCTGTTATACCTCACCTACCTAATAACCTCTACACTCAGCATTTAGTTTTTCTTATGTGGATCCTGGGATGCAAGAACCCTTCTGTCTTGCAAGTCCACACTCATCCTACCAGCTCTTTTTCCTTTTTCTGTTTTGGTAGTATGTGAAAAAGAAGTGCCTTCTACCAACCTATTCTTTGTTCAATTGGAAAATAAAGCAACTGAACGGTAAAGGAACAGAGCAGCAGTAGAGGGTAAATGGGAAACAGGCTTTCCCAGCAACAAGTGGTACAGAAAGCCATCCCGCCAGTGCCTTTTCCCACTACATGATTCTTGGCAACAGCGGAGATGTTCTTCCAAGTGTTACAACCCTAAGGCAGAAAGTCATCTCTTGCAGCCAGAACCACTGCTGAATGTGTCTCTGTGCTCCAGGTGCCTTGAGGCCACCTTCAATTCATCTCTGACACATGGAGGCGAAACAGCTAAATGGGTAATTTGTTCTTCTACTTTTAGCCACCCTACTTTAGTCAACTTTATTTCTAGGCACAGATTTTGGTTTGCTGTTTGTTTGATTGTATTTAAATTATCAGATTTTTGCTCTGGAACTCAGTAGTTGTTAGGAATGAAACAGTACAAGGGTTGTCTTGCAAGAGAGAGGGCTGGCGAAGTCTGCTCTGTTCTCTGGTCATAGCACAGAACAGATAGGTATAAGGTAACCAGTTTCAGTCTGGCATCTTTCTGAAAAGCTAAAAATCTGCTTTGAATATGAAGTTGAATGAGTTTTGGTTTGGCTGTAGAGTGTGTATCCCAAGTGAAATAACATTCTCGCCCTTCCTACTTCAGTCCAGTAATTAGTGCATGGACAGTAGCATTGTAGAATGGCCAAACAACACCACTCTTGCTTAAAAATAGGTGCCCAACAGCACTAGACTGCTTTATGGTTGTGTGCACGGGGCTGGTAGATATGGCCTGGGACCTGCGGGAAAGCCCTTCCGAAGTGTCAGCAGGAGACATGGGGAATACATGAGGGCACGTTGTGTGACACTGCGTTTATATTTATTTTTACTGCAATGCTGACAAGCTTGTGTTAAGTATATGCTGTAATATGGCATAATTTAGGTGTCTTAACTCCTAACAGAAGCCTGGTCCTGGTGAAGTTGAAAATGTTTATATAGTGTCTGAATACGTTTCCATATGGAAATTGTGCACATACCTATGTTTCTAGTCTTCATTTGTGGCCACCTTTGTGTTTTCCAGTCCATAATCTTCATTCGTGACTGAAATTCTCGTCACCAGGAGGTGTCTGCATATCAACTATGCACACAGACTGACAACAGATGATTTTGAAGTCTACTTCAGTGGGAAGAAGAGACTTTTCCCTTGGAACACTGATCTAAGGTATTTATCTTGACTTTGTTTTAATTTATTTGTATTTAGGTAACGTATAGAGAGATATTTACATGTTTTTGAGTAGGAAGACAGTTTATGAAAGTGTTTTTCACTGAAAGGCAAACCCAGTGGATTAGAATTAGTAGTGGAGAATGACTTTAAGAAGGATTCCTGTCAGATTTATTTAGTCCAGAGCATAAAACTTAACCAGGACATTACAACTATTGCCTGTCTCTGCATCTCTCATTACTCTGAAGATTCTGTAAATAGTGACACGCTTTGATCAGTAAAAGCACACTTCTGGAGATGCCACAGGTCACACAGCTGCACTCAGCAATTGCCAGAACATTTCTAGCTTTGCCTACTCTCCACAGAGCCCATGTGTCCTGGTTTTGCTAGGATAGAGTTAATTTTCTTCTTAGTAGTTAGAATAGCTGTGTTCTAGCTTCAGTGTAGGACTCGTTATGAAAAAGAACATTGATAAAAGTACTAAGTTATTAGTTGCTGCTGGAGCTCAAGGCCACCATGTTTGGCTGTTCACAGCCGCATTAGGACTGGGAGGGAGAAGCGCAGTGAATAGCAAAGCCCAAACTGGCATCTGGATGTGCCAATAAGATATTCCAGATCATATCACATCATGTCAATATATTAATCGGGGATGACTGGAAGATGGGGGGATTCTCCTGGGGATCACTCGGGCTCACTCTTCCGGGGTTTGGGTTTTGGGACTGTGTTTGGCTGCAAGGTGCAAGCCAGAAGGGTGAATCCACCCAAACTACCACATCATGTGATGATGCCTTGCTTTGAAAGTGGGCTGCCTGCAGAGGTCTTCTGATGGCAAGTAAGATGGTGTGTTTCCTGTGACTAATGAGAAACATCATCAGTGAGCTTTTTCACTGAAGAGTGTTTTCCTTAAAATACATCCTGCGCCTGACTGCCCAGAAGCATACATATGAGAGTTGTTTGTGCTCTTCTCTTGGTGAAGGCCAAGTTGAAAAGGTTTGGTGTAGCAGAGCTTGCAGTCTCACTGAGACCGTAAATTTCAGTGGGTTGGTGTTGTGAATCATCAAGGGAGTCTCCTCTTCCCAGGTGTTAGAAGGAAGAACTGTCAACAACTATCTGCAGTATCATGCTCAGTTACTGTCTCCTGGTAAAAAAGTGTCCAGTACAAAGCAGTTAATGCATTTTCTTCATTTTCTGAGAGTGGTTTCTGTAATGCAAATTGCTGCAAATACTGTTCAGTCAGATTCTGATACGTGTCACAGAGCGAGAAAGCAGAAAGGAGTGTTGGAGGGGACAAGTGGGCTGGTGAAGGTTTTGCGTTATTCGTTCACAGGACAGCAGATGTCAGTAATGAGGCAGAGATACTGAAATCTCTCAGCACTGTCAGGGATGGGAAGCAAAAATCCTGATTTTACGCTTTTAAATCACAGGGACGAACAGACAGTTGCTGTTTATGACTGAATTAAGCAGAGGAGTGAACATAACATGACGTCTGCTTTTCATATTATCTCCTTTCTACATATTAGGATTTTATTAGTGACTGATAAATAAGCCTTTTAAATCATTATTGTCATATCCAATAAAAAACATCACTGTTGTACCCAGTAGGTGTTCTTCTAAGTTGAAAAAGTCTCGTTTAACGTATGCTTCAGCCTCTTTTTTCTTCCCTTGTGTCAAAACTAGGGTACATGGCAAACTTCATGAGCAGCTCAGTAGGTTCACTCCTTTTAATGGTAGAATATAGCTTCAGCTGATATTTAGTTTTACCTCTTTGTTTTAAAAAAAAAAAAAAAAAAAAGGAGGGGGGAGGATAGAGCATTACTTATATATGGAGTTTTATAACTGGAATGTAGCCCATTCAAAACTACATTTGAATTTCCAACAGAACATAGAGAGAAGTTCAGATAAAGCATATACAGCACCAGGAAGGCTAGTTGGCTTTATTTATATGTATGTATGAAAGTATGCACTGTAATGCAGTTCATACACAGATACATAAATATATATGTATATAACTATACCTATGTATACTGAAGTCTTGGTACATTTTATACTGGCTAAAGAAAAAAAACCCTTCACTTTATGGTAAAATTATATAGTTCTTGATGCATTACATGTACAAATTGTTTTTTTGTGAAAGCCCCATCAAGTCACAGAAAATCTCTAAGAATATTTATGTATTCTGTGGTCCACTGGAGTTGTTAAGTGTCCCATTTTGCATCAGTTAGGTGTCTTTAGAGTAGCGCATTTCATTCCCACCATGTGTCTCATGGTTAACATTGGGAATGTTGCTGGACAGATGGAGGACAGGTATGAAGAAGCCCAGGAAGAAAGACTTGGCTAGTGCTGTGCTGATTTAAAGATTCTCATTGGCATAGAACTTACCATGTCCCCTGAAAACCTTTTTACTGAGTAAATAAAAACATCCCGTTTCTTGTTGGAGTCTTAAAATTGAACTTCACCTGCTGGATCCTGTATTTGTAGTTGCATGCCAGGTTAAATACAGCTTTAGGATTAGACAGGTTGTAATTACATAGGCTGTCATCAAAACTGTCTTCAGCCATTCTTCAGTAATCTAAAAAGAATTTTCTTACAGATAATTGTACATTTAATGGTCATCCCTTATCTTGGCAGTGTTGTTCCTCTGCCTCTTTGTTTTCTACCCAGCTTCTTCAAAATGTGTCAAGAATGCTGTTTGTGAATGGGGATAATTTGACTGCGTATATAATTTTGTGTCTTCAGCTTTGAATCTCTTGTTGAGCTCCAAATTTAAGTCTTTTAATCACATTTTTCTTACCTGGATACTTATGCTTTTCAGCAGGTATAAAAATGTCTGAGTATAGATGGCATATCTGCTTCTCAGGCTGAAAGACTGGGTGAGTATTTCTGTGAAAAGCAGTTGTTCCTAAAAGTCATAATATCAGTTGAAGCTGTTACAAAATGCTGCCTTCTTAAAGAACAAGTCAGTTTAGGAAACTTTACTAAGCCCTTGCTGTTGGTCGTATTTACTCTTAGTCTCTTGGGAGACTGTAAATCTTGGATTTTGTGGGAGAGGTTAGTATCTTGTGCAGAGCTATCAAATTGTCCTTTAAATATCGAAATCCATACTTTGCTGCCACACATTTTTTCCTTAGCTGTCTGAGGCTGTCAGAGGTTATTAAACTTGGTCTTAAGTACCCTCTGAATCAGATTCTTGTTCACAATGCAAAGTGATGTTCATACTTTAAATCCAGCGGGTAATATCACAGGCTCTTGTATTTGATCTACATAGTTCCTCAGAGTATTTTTGCCACTTTATTGCACTGCCCTATCGAGGAAGTATTATTTATATGATATAATACTCATTTGGTTCCAGTTTATTAAATGAAAGGAATGTGTTAGGCAGTGAGTTCTTAAGAGGTCTGGAATCTGGACTGTAATTGAATCCATTCACTCAGCTAATTTATGTGATCTGATGAGAAACAAGTGTAATACAATTTGTTCAAAGAAAATGGAGAATGTTCACTCTATGGAACCATACCAAAAAGTTCTCTGAATGAAGAAGCACAGCAAAAGACGAAGTTTGAGCTCTCTTTTGTCTGATCAGCTGTACTTTGAGTGTCTCTCCTCGTGAATGAGGATGACATGAACATCTTGCAGTGGAATTGTACTATTTTAATTTTGTGTGAACTCCTGTCCTGGGTTTTCATTAGTTTTCTGTGCAGCATGCTAGATACAGTATTTTTGATAGTGTACACCGTAGTGTTTTATCCTCATGCTTGACTTGTGGTTGCAGTGTTTTCATTTCTTCTTACTAGTGTGCAATATCTTTTCTAAAACAGAGCCAGGTAAGGAGCCATTTACTGTAGAACATGGGTCCTAGATTTTCCTCTGAACTAATGGTCTGAAATCACTTACTTATGAGCAGTGAAACTCTTTTGGTTTTGGCCCTGGCATGCATCAGTCTGAGCATGGGAGGTCCAGCATTCAGGGCTTTGTGGTGATGCACCTTGTCTGCGATAGAAGTGCATCATGACACATGGGGGCTTTCAAACACAGCATGTTGTTCTCTGTTATTGGCAAGAAACATCTCATCAGCTTCTGCCCTTCTCCTCTTGTATTTCAGCTGTGGTCTGTTTGGCTGCAAGTGGGCGCAGCATTTGGCAGTCAGTCACTAACTGGGAGTTGGAATTCCCTCCCTTTTTATTGTCAAGTATATTCTAAGATATCATCTGTTTATCTGTAAAGACCTGTAGGCCAAATCATGGCCAGAGATACGTTCCCAGGCATGGGGCATGAGGCAACTTCTCCCTTCCCTGCTGTATGCCGTACCCCACAGATTTGAGAGCAATTCCCAGAAGAGCGCTACCCCTACCCCACTTACCCAGGTGAGAACTGAGGGGGAAGAAATCACTAGTCCTGCTGTGCCAGGCAGAAGGTATGTAGAGAACTTCTCCCTCAAGGAGCAATCCCACTGTGTCAGCAGAAGATGTGCAGGGAACTTCTCCTCCCTTGAGGAGCAGGCAGTGGGAGCCAAATCAAACTCCAGCTGTGCCCTGGGAGCAGCAAGGCAGCAGCGACCTACCTGCAGGAGTTGTGGTAATCCCAGAATCCAGTCCAAAGCCTCTGGAAATAATTTCTCCCCAAACAGGGCATGCTGTGTGGCTCCCTGTAAATGAATTTATTACAGCAGCTAGAGGTAGGAGCAGGTCACCTACAACGGGCAGCGTGAGCCTGTACTTGATGACATCTGTTACTGTGGGTCTCTTTCCAGCTTTCAGAGAGCAGGATGTTGGGTGTGAGCAGAAAACAGGTTGTGTTTGTTTGGGTGTTTTCTGTTTTGTTAATCAGGAGGGGTTTTGTTGCAAATATAGCAGGAAGTTGTCCTTGTGTTGAAAGGTCCAGTTAGCCATTTCTCCAGTTGCCGTGGTGGTGTGCTTACTTCAGTGGGCTCTGAAAGGGAAACCCTTTGGTAACTCCCTCTTGATGTACATCTGCGGACCCCATTCATTGTCCATCCGGCATGT